TCATCTTCGTCTTTACTTCGTGTGATCATTGGTGCCATCGGGCATTTTTCGCCTCACGAAGACAATACGAAGGAAACAAGAAGCTGCCCGATTGTCTTAGGAAGGCAACACGACTACGTGAAGCCCTCGCAATGCCGTCGTGTAGCCATCGTTTTATAGTACGATGACATCGAGATGGGACCACGGTTTTGGCGAAGACAGCCGAATTTCAGTAGCTCAAGCGTTTCCCATGTGTCATGGTAACGTGGACATATAAAAGGCCAGCCTCAGAGCATCTTCTTCAGTCAGTCCTGAGCAACTGCCGCTTGGTGGTGGGCGTGTCTTGAGCTTGGGGAGTTTATGCGAGCAACGCAACCAACAACCAATCACATGAATCTCTGCTGTCAATTGCATAAAAGGTTTTACATGTCACACTTTATATGATGAACATTTATGACATTAATGTCTATGGTGCTATTTTACGCAACATTCCATGCTGGCTAAATACTGTCTATGCCTGCTAGCTGTCCATTCAAACGAAGTACACTGGATATAAACTCCCCAAACAGGCGAAAACCTACCAGTTTCACCCACTGTCTCTGCCACCTCCCTCCATGCCTGGCTCCTCCGGTTTGTATCCCGGTAGGTGAACAGGGACTGAAAGCACCAGGTGATTCCCTACCCCTACCGCTACGATTATTTTCTCCTCCATTTTTTGGCATATGAGGAAATGAACTGCGGTCTGGCTCTCCCAGCATACACGCGGTTTGATTGGCTAGCGCTTGTACTGGCAGATTTGCATACGCAGGATTTGATTGGCTGACGCCTCCGCCTCAGCTTCAAAAGTAGAACATTGTTCTACTTTTGCAGCGAGCACCGCGAGAAAAGCTACGCTTTGCTCCCACAATGCAGTTCGGCGAATCGTGACTTCACCCCATTCAAAGTGAATGGGCAGAAGCGTTGAAGCGTCAACGCACGCCGCCGTGTGTAGGGGCCGTAACTCCCAAAGCTTCAATCACAATTAATCTCAATTCAGTTCCTGCAGAATGGCATACTTTGATGATGAGACAACCAGGAAAAAGAAGGCAGCAGCATTGCTTCTTTTGATGCACCTCAGAGAACATGATGAGCAACTCTTACAGGCCCAGCACCTCCTCTTACAGGTAACAATTGTCTTATTTCACTTTGTCATTTCTTGCTATTTGTGACCTAGTTCGAAAAAAAAAAACCTTCTTTGTGGCTTCGGTGTGGTGGATGTCGTGTGGCCATCATGTGGCCTTCGTGTGTCCTGCGGGTATAAACTACTATAAGAATTCACATCTTCGTGTTGCCTTCGGGTGCCATCGTGTGGCCTTCTGTAGGCATCGTACTTGCTTCGGCTGTTGCTTGGCTGTTGACCAAGTTCGGGGCCATCTTCGTGCGAAATTCACAATTCCATATTTGTGTGTCCATCTGGTGTCAATTTCGGGACAATGTGACGCCAGCCTTAGAATCATGTTCATGTCCAAGGGCTGATCAGATATACATGTATACTGGTAAACTGGCACTAATGTTGTCAGTAGCTGTTCGTACTACAAGCCTTGAAAGCTAGCATCCAAGATTGGTTTCAATGCTTCCTTGCTATGGATTTAAACAGTTTTACATGATCTTGATCGTTTTGCACATATCATCATGCTAAGGGAATGTTAAAAGCTCTGTCCAAGGTGCTGATCAGCCTATCAAAGGGACTGAATACACAGCACACTGGGGCTGCAGTCTTTTTTGCCTAGAAAGCATCCTAACCATAATGACCCAGAAATATCTAAGTGACATGAATAAGGGATGTTCGAATTCTCAAAATACTAAGGAAAGGTGCTTCAATTATACAGTTTTTATCACTTCTAGCATATGGTACAGTGGTCCATCCTTTTCCAAAAGAAAGTAGATAATTATTTCCCACAATTTATTGTGGCAGCAACACCTTGCGGGCGTAAATTACATACACCATTGCTGTTTAATTGTACCCTATGAATAAATTAAAAACATAATCTTAGGAGGTTTTATTGTAGTTGGACTGGAATCCTCACTTTACATGTACAGTATGTTAGTCACTGTACACTTAATTTATGAGTGTTATAAAAGTTTTAAAAAACTACAACTGTCCGCCAATGTGTAAGAGATTTACATTTAATTTTCTTAAGTCCTGATAAATTCTCCTTTTACATCTTTTCTTTGACAACATGACGTTTTCGACTGCAGCTTGGGACTAGCACTATCCTGTAAGTACATGCATGTCCTTTCTAATATTAAAGCTTGCCAGACCAGACCTGATTGCTAAAAAGAGGGTGCCTGTTGCTAATATAGCAGCCTTTCTCTCGATTGTAAGGTAAATATTGTGTAAGTAAATACTGAAAACATACATTTGTTGTTCACCAATACTCTGTGACACAGAATTGAAATGATATACTTAAGAGCTAGTAAAGTGCTTTTACAGCATTGACTTAATTAGACACAACATGTTTTTATACTGTAACTCTGTCACGGGTGTTGCACTTTGAAGAGTTCTCTCTTTTTACCCTCCTGCTGGTCACACATTTGTGTTTCTGGTCACTGGAACAGGTGAACTGTATGTTAATGTTTCAAATAAATCAGACAGTTAGATTTTTTTTACAGCCAACTGATTGCATGTGTCTCTTTTCTCTGCAATCTCAGAGACTCATTTTACGAGAGATTCAGAGTCCAAGTGCAAGTTGAGAACACTTATCCTGTCAACATGCTTGCAAACAATCAGTCTTAAAAACACCTGTCACATAATTGAAGTGTATGATATGTATTAAAAGTAGGGATGTCACCATACCAGAAATGTTGTGGGCGATACAAATACCAGTGAAATTCTAATTCTGGAAGCAGATTCAGTACCACAGTAGGCAGACAAGACAATAAATCCCACGTTCTTTAACATAAATCCTATGTTATGTTTGGATACTGTTTTTTAAGGGGGTTTAAAAGGCATAATTCCTCCTCCAGTATCTATTGTTTTTTGCTGTGATGACATTTTTTTCAAACTGTTAAAGGTAGGGTAGGAAAGAATGGAGAAACCAGCTCAAGTAAGCTAGAATTTGAAAGTACACAACCGAAAAAAATCTGCCCCTTCCTTCAGACTTCCTTACAGAGCCCCTCCTCCAACACACACGAACGCGCACATGACCAATGAGGGCACGAGATAAGTTTGTGCACGAGATGGAAGGCTGACAGGCAGGTAGGCCATCCAATTATCTGCCGCGGGCCGGGGCAGATAATTGGACTTGCTTTTTACAGCGCCACGGCTTCCACAGATGAAATATTTGTATATATTTTTTTGTCAAAGCATTTAATGTATTCATTGCCATCGGGATGTTAAGAGCATTCCATGGAATATAACAAAAAGTGTTTCTGAAGTGAATTACCTACCCTACCTTTAACTTTAAGTTTTTTGGCACGTTCTTTTAGTAGATTAAATATGAAAACATTATGGTAACGTTATACTTTACCGTTGCCCAGTACACATTTTTATTGAATAAAGCCTAAATATGCCTTAATACAACTCAATAGCAGCTTTGATATTGAGCTAATAGCTAACTTTAACTAGCTCTCCTGCTGATTGCACCAGCAGACAGCTGTTAGCAATAGAGGAAGCTAAGGAGGAACGTGTGTGCTTTATGAACCGATAAGCAGAATTACAATTTATTTTATATTTTCAACACGTAAACAAGGCTCCGTTAGTCTTGAACCCCCCACAGTACTTATGGTACCAAACAGGCACTGTCACATTTTCAGCATCTCGGCTTTGACAAGTACCAAAGTATTAGTTCTTGTGACATCCCTAATTAAAAGTGAGCGAGATGTTGAAAAAGCTGTGAATGTTTACATGTTTGGGTATTCAAATGAACTGACAACAGACATGCATACTTGCTACGTCCCCACCTGCCCTGAACCTGATACCTGCCAACAGTTCCTCCACTCAACATACACCTGATTCCCCATTTGTACACCCACTCTCCAATCCTCCCTCCATGTCTTTCCAAAACTAATTGGAATAGTCGTTCAGGTTGTCAGCCTATTGTTCCCTCCTATGTCTCACCTGCCTCTCTCAAACACTCATGTACACTCACACACAGCGACATGTACAGCACATACATGCATTACTTGTTAGGGATGGGAGATTCAGCAAAAATTCTATGTTTGTCATGATTAATTGGGAATGGAATGATCCTTTGTTTCAAAACTAAGTTACGTCACTGATGATTTTATTGAGAGATTGGCATTAGAATCACCCTTTGATCGAATCAGAATTTCTAAGAATCAGAATTCCTTAATGTGTCCCGCAACTGGGAAATGTACAGTATTACAACAGCAAGAGTATAGTGCAGATACATTTAAAAGAGTAGACTTGGTACAGGTTATTATTAATAATAGAAAAAGTGAAAAAAACTAAAGAAAAACAGATAAGAACACAATGGTAAAAAAAAATAAGAAGCAGTATATTTAAAAATAAATTAGCATAACATAATATAGAAGTAGCAGTAGTGTACTGTTTACAGATTGAAAAATAAATTGAAAGAAAAAATAAAGCGTGAATTGCACAAGGGTATATCACCGAATAGCTGGCAATTGGGGGTCACCCAACACTGTCCTATAAGCAATCCTCATCATCCATATTATCCTGAAATAGGAAAGCCACTAGTGAAGTCCACCTGACAGACAGCTAAACCCTGACATCCAAAATGACAGGAGATGATAAAGCAGTAATTGGTATGTCCCCTTGAGAATTCCATGTCAGTGTACAGGTTATAGCTTTTCCGTTGTGAAGATATCCGGCCTATTCGCAGTAAGACATGACACATATATCCCAACCTGACATTACAAGCCAAACCCAGAGCGCTTATAATTGGGTTTCCCTGGGATTTAGTGTCACAACAAAACATTTTTATATTACGGGGCTTGCGATCAAATAGAAATAGTTTCTTCTATGTACCTGTGACAGATCTGTAGGGCATACTTACCGAGGTATAGACGTATCCTTCACTATTCATGGCCAGGTATAATCCCGTCTTTGCCCCCTGGATTGCCACAATCCGCAGTCCCACCGGAATTAAGTTGAACTGTGCTGAATCGGGGAATAAAATAGGAGAGAGATAGGGCACGACAAAGAGGGAGAGGGAAAACATGAGAAAGTCAGAGAAGATTGTGATATCAAAATCTGCTTTTTTGTCTTTATTGTATTAGGCTGAATGGCCGCACCGTCACTGCTGCATGCTATATCTCTCTTAAGCTTAAATGCTGTGACTGCTCAGAATTTATGTTTATTCAAACAACAATATATCACCTTCACTATGCTTTACACTGTCTAAACCTTTGATGATAATAGAGAGCCAAACGGAGCTTAGTGACAATGGGATATTTAGATACAGTATCTTTATTGTGTGAACATATTACCAATAAAATAGTGAATCCATCAAGAAATAACGTTGTAGAATACATTTTACATTTTACATTTCAAAGAAAAAAAGTGCCTTATTCCAACTCCAATGTGAAAAAAGGCCTGAGTCTGGAAGGTCAAACAAAATAAATGATACTACGGAAGGAACACTGCACAGTTTGTGGTCTGAAGCCCACAATTAGATTGCTAAAGGTCAGGGAGAACATTCACATCATCTCAACGGTGGCAAGTATGTTCACTCAGGCCTAGGCTCCACGGGAACGAAAACGGGTTGTATCCGCATATTTCTCTTGCGTATAGCCCTTTAAGCTACACAACGCCGTAACGGAACGGTAGAAACGGACCCTGCAAACGACAACGGGTCCAAAGGTGGATAGATCTGGGAACGGAGCGCTCTGGGGGGTCCAACGGGGCCATGTGGTAGCCTATACGGTAATCCGTTTCTGATAATGACGACGCAATAGCCCCGCCTCTCCCCGCCTCTGCTGCTCACCCCCGCAAAAGTACACTGCACACTGAATTCAGATTATTTATCTTTATCTCGATATGGACATAAACGCGAGTGAAGTCTAATCTGACAGGACGGAGACACGCAGCTCCTCCCGCTGTGATGCAGCGGGAGCAAACACACACTTCAAGTCAGATCATCACCCTTAGCTATTTTAATTACCTCTCAAACTACCTAAACTAGTTATAAATATGTTTATTTTTACTGTCGAGTCATCATTACTGGGATCAGCTGCTGCATGAGACAGACACTGACGCTGTCAGAAGAGAGGAAAAAGAGACAGGCTCTGTGTATTTTATTATCATATATCATTATATCGTCGTTATTCATTTGTTTTAAAGCTCAATAATAACAAAGAAGACCTTTGACCGGCACTTTTATAATTTGGGTCCGGAAGATTTTAAACTTTAACACACGTTGCCCGGCGAAAAACTCTGCCCGGTTCCCTCGGCCCCACCGCGGAGAATAAACAGAAGTGCAGCCATGACAACCATTCTTCTTCGCTGCTTTTGTGGAGGAAGTTGCTGCTTTTGTGGAGGAAGTTACAGCGCCACGTACAGGCTCGGCATATGTACTGCAGCTTTTCCAGCGGTTGGATGTAAACGGAGCTGTCTCGTGTAGCAAGACACAATCCGGTGTATATTGCGTGTGGACGGAAGCCTTTTGGCATTTGCGTTTGCGTTAATCCTATGTGTTTTGCCGTATGCGTTCCCGTGGAGCCGGGGCCTTAGAAGCACTTTAAAGTCAGACAGCGGCTTTTTGTGGTTTATGGACTTCAAATACAGTAGCAGATCCACTGATCCACTCAGTATATGGGATTTCAAAAGGAGCATGAATGGCTTTTATCCTTAAAAGCACATATGCGCAAGGACGCATTAAATTCCCAAAGTTTGGCAGTTTGACAAGATGTTCCTTCCTATTATAAGACAACAATAACAATACACATTGAGATCATTTTGACATGAGCTCACAAAATCCAAACTTGTGCCATGACTGCCACAGAGGCTTTTAGCACAGCAGCCATTTTTGGGATTGTTCTCCCAATATGAGCTGTTCCATAGAACAGCTATATGAAGATAATAAACCTGCACGTAATACATGCATCAATACAAAAATAATCTCGTTTTAACCTTCAAAACACGACCATGAGCAAAGACATGAAGGCTATACACACACACAGACACACACACACTCACAAAACGCGCTGCTTTCATCCCTCGTGCTGTCCATGGTCCCGTCAGGTTGCATCTGCAGGTAGTATCCATGTTGGCTGTATAGCCGAGTAACAATGCCTTTCAGCTTTGGCTCTGCAAGGGAAGCACAGGAGAACAACATGGCATTAGAGCGGTGCCAACACAACAGTCAAAAGCAGAAAGCCAGTCATTAACAGAACCTGGAAAAAGAAAGGTTAAGTCAAACAGGTCAGAGTTTAAAGACACCAACCACAGAGAAAGGAGTTTTACTATACACTATATTTCTGCTATATCTGAAATTCAAACATGGTTTAATACCTATACGTTTATTTTATTGGATTGCATTAGGTTTGTACAATTAGGAAAAGTATGTACTGTTAGTCATTTCCAACCACACCGTGTATTGTCATGTTTTATAAACAGTGTATATTGTATTTCTTGTTTTTACTCATGTAGTACTAAAGTTTGCTATTCAATCCACAAAGACCCAATTTTTGCAAAATATCAAAACTTTTATTTAAAATTCACAAATGATGTTGAGTCTTAATAACAAAGAAATATTGGTGCCAAAGGTAACATTCTGCCTCCTAACTTTCCCTATATGGTGAACCAAAGCATTTTAAATATCAAAGACGCATGAAAGCCTCATTGGGCATCAATATAACGTCTTTAGGAAGTCTTGCCAGGAGATAAGACGCCTGGAAGAATGATGATTGATCTCTGACATCATTACCATAATAAAGGAAGACTTATCCAACCTCTAAACACTTTGAAGTACTACAAAAGAAAATAATACAGCTATGTTGGCTCTAGTGTGTATAGGATCTTATAGGTTAGAGATATTTCTCTAGAGAAAGAGTTTAGGCTTTGAGTGTCCAATAACAAGTTCTTAGATAATAAGTGAATTGCCCAAGCTACATTGTTAGACTAATTCGCCAAACACTCCATCTTACAATAATTCTGTAGTAATTCAACTGATGAATAGAATGCATGTATAACTTAAGCGAAGGCATCAGTACACTGGCCTGCTACATGTGTTATTTGTAGCCAGAGCTCTGGCCATCAAAGGGATGAAGTCAAGTGAGAGAGTTAGTCTGTCTCCAGCTAAATAAATAAAATATATATAATCAAGGGCGCTGGGTGGTGGAGGGAAGGGTGGAGGGTGAACAGAGAGCTTGAATGTTTCATGAGCGGAGTCCCTGCAGCCTACTTTACGTTCATTTAAGAAACAGAGTCTTTGCAGCCGCTCTCAGACATCACTAGCGCGCCCCTCAATTACACGAAGCACTCGCACTGTGTCGAGGAAATTAAGTTCTCCTGAGTGGCTACTCCAACAGCAAGGAGAACCCTGTAGGTCCCGTGACATTTCCGCAATAAAATGTGTAACAACTACCAAACCTATTTTGTATATTTTCTGTCAAGTTGTGTACTTACACTATCCCAAATCCAGCAATTTTCCAACCTGAGATAACCACCACTTTAATCAAGGCTTGTTGGTCGCCTGGTAATGGCAAGGCATCCTCTTGCACATGCGTCAGAGTTTTTGCCACACTTCTTAGACCTTGGTTGTTTTAACTGTATAGTTTAACTGGATACTCATTTTGGTCAAAGGACGTATGATCGTAAGTTATCAGAGAAACAAGCTGAGCATACGTAGGCGGAAGATACACTTGATTTTTTAAGATTATTTTAATCACCTGGTTCATTTGTTTGGACCCAGTGAGAATTTCTTAGGTAAATGCATCTTAAGTAATCAGTGAAAAAAGCTGAGCAAACGTTAGCGGTTAGTTTGCTGCCCCTCCGTCTTTTTCTTGCAGAACAGTATTAGGGAATGACTGATCTTTACAGTTAAATTGCTTATTTTGTTTTTCTACCAGTTTAAATCAGCTGGTCCATGTGTTTTGAAGTATAGAAGACCTCTGCAGGTAATTTGGCTCCTGGTAAAAACGTCCTAAACGATGAAAAATGAAGTTTTGAGACAATAACACTCATGATCCCATTGTTATAAACAACACCACCAAACTCTGTATTTTGTTATTGTTCTGATTAAGAGACCCCTATTGGTGGAAAACGACATATTGTACACTTAGAGCTCAGTCTTTTAGTCTGCACAGTGAACTGATGGTCTCCTTCCATGCAGCTTTAATAAGGGATATGAACCATGGATGAAGGTGCAGTTCATGACAGTCTCTGGAGGACTAAGGGGCAATCAAGGGAGTCCCCCCTCTGCTAAACGTCATCCATGTCCTCACGCTCGTCCCCCGGGGAGGGACACAGGGCACTGCGCAATCCGCCTGTTTTCCTCAGTGTGGCACAGGAAGCAAGAGAGTGACAGAGGATGCAGGGAGGAGATCTGTAGGACTATTTCCCGCAGGAAATGTGCCAGAGTTGAGGCATCAGTGAAACTGTGACCTACTCCCATTGTTACATGCAAGCATCTGCAGCACTCCCCCTCCATCCTCTCTCTTTCAAAGCTGCTTGTCAAAAACATTTCAGTGTCTCTAGTCCTGCACTTTTCTTCTGTCTCTCTCCCCTTTCCCTTTTCATTGTCCTTTGAGCTGCACACGCTTTCATCCCACCTAATAACATCATACATCATCCAATCAGAGCAGGGACGCCGCTCATTACTTTGTCCCCACAGATGCAAAACAGAGAGATGAGAGAGTGAGACAGAAAGAAAGGGAGATGGGAGGATCAGGGATGAGAGAAGTGAGCATAGGGAACACAGTGAAAGAGATGACACTGTCATTTCATTAGGAGCGACGGCTGTATGTGCACGAGAAGGAAAAAAAACAACATTTGGACGAAACTTCAATTGACAGCTTGTGCAATAAGGGTGCAATCAAAACTCCCATGCTTAGTGTCAGGGGCCGTAAACTAATGTTTCACTTAGCAGAGCTGGCTCCTACTTCAGAATCTTCGTCCCAATGCACAATAAATTCTCATACAGTGTAATGAAAGCTCCCAGCAAAAACTTTAACGGTTGTGTTTTACTGCAGCTGCATTAGAGATTCATAGATGATAAAATGGAAGAAAACAACCCCTGTGGGCTCGTGCTATCTTATTACCATACAAATATTGCAACTTTGGTTTATTGAGGCCCAAAGTCATTTTATACTGTTGTGGTCTAGAAGCATCTTTTTATTGTGGTGTTATTGACATAAAAGGAAGTGCACTTGTGTTTTGCTACTGAGACATAATTATGAAGATGTTGTGGACATTTATAACTCCAGGGTTCAATATGGGGGTATAATAAGGTTTTATAACCTTTTTTCATCGTAGCACAATAAACAAATCTGTATTTACCTGAACAACCAGTAAAATGCGTGATATTAACTATCTTGGCTAAATGTTGTTTACTGAACGACCTGTAACAATATAAAGCAAACGATTGTCAGCACCAATGATAGCAGGTAAGACCGAGAGTAGTACTACAATTAAATAATACAAGCACTACTTCTAGCAAAGAAATATTTGTATAGAACAGTTTATGTTCAACCGCCCTGCCACCATCAATTTGATTTTGTCGTGACACGAGAGGGTGGAGCCAAGTACAACCAAACGCTGATGACATCTTAAGCCGACCAACATGTTACAATTAAGTCGTATTGAACTTAAAATACACTTTAAAGCTTTTAGACAAAAACACAAACAATATCCAAAACCGTCAAAGCCATGCTAGCTACATTATTTACAAGCAAACCTCGCCCTAAAGCATACCCTTTTTTTATTTCAATGTTTTTCTCAATTGACCATAATTTAATAAATAAACACCATGCTTTATTGGGGCAGACTTGAAGCTAACAATTGAGTCTATAAACTCTTCAGGAAAATGTTTACTGAGATAATACATCAAGAAGTACAGTCATTTTTGTATAGACATCTATACAGTTGGACTTTTTGCTATCAGCTGAAGTGCCAACCAGATGTTAGAAAGAATGCAGGCCTTAGGAACAACAACTTTTAAGACACAGAGGTTGCGTCTTGCCTGCCTCTCACTCTTAACCCTTTTTTTATGTCAATCGCAAGTTACTCTCCAAGCTAATGTTAAGCTAGCAGTCAACAACTAGACCATTACAGTTATAGATGTAAATAATAGTTGTTAATACCGTCCGATAGGCGGGTAGGGGGATGAAAGAGATGAAACATCGTAGTTTGGGGGATAAAGAGTCCCGGTGTATGTCACAAATGTTTCACTGATATTTCTAGAAGACAGAATTATTTGCTTCTCCTCGGAAAAAGTCAAAAAACCTTTGTTGTTGAGAATAATACATAATGGGTCAAGGATCTACACTACAGTATATAGTGGATACAGGTAATATTAACCTCACAAAGTGAATACAACACCAAGTTATCTTAAAAATAATTTAGGCTTTTCTTCCCCCAGTCTCTTGCATTAGCTGTGAAATTCCAAAGCTCTTTTTTGGCTCTAATAGTTGAGTGCAGCAACACAGCTTTTACCAACATGCAAATGAACAAAACTGTGCATAATCACATCACTGACTCCACTCAGTGTCATCAAGTAGCAGAGATGCACTACATCCCCATGTGTATCCTGCCAACTGCTCCCCTCTCACTGTTCTCCTGACAGCATCTGTCTGCATAATGTGCACACACACACAGACACACCGTTCTGCCGTTCTAGTTAATTTTGCAGTAGGTTAAAGTGGACCTATCATGCTATATTTGAATAATATATTGTAGGGCCATACCTATATAAAACATGTCTGTGAAGTTTTTTTTTCAAAATACCAAACAGATCATGCATTTTAGCCATGCCTCATTTTGCTCTATTTTGCTCTCCTCCAGCCCTGTCTTTGCATGAGCTGCAGCTGACCACGCCCCCCTGCAAAGGAGGGGGGCGAGGCACGAGCGTCATGTTACCATGCTGTTACCATGCTGTTACCATGCTGTTACCATGCCACGGCAACCTCTCATTCCCCTGATAGGTGGAGAGTTGGCCATATAGGCGGAGCTCCTCGTTCCTGACGTCAGAGAATTTTCAAATCTGGATCAGTCTGTATCAAATCCGTTGCAGCCCCGTTTTTAGAGATTTGGGTATGGAGGAAAAGAGAGAGAGTTGTGTTTTCTGACACTTGGTGACTTCCCTGGAA